GGAAGTGAGAGCAATGTGGCCAAGAAACAAAATGGAATATTTGGCTATGGACTCTGGAGGCCTAGTTGGGGGACTTCTCTGCATATGAGATTTGGAGGTGTTTCAATTTAAGGAGTGTTATTGCAATAGAAGATTCATTTTGCTCTCAAGTACTCTCTTTAATTCTTTTAATTGTGTTATACTTAATATATATGCACCTAATGAAGTGGGAAATATGGGGAAGTTGTGGGATTGCTTGTTAAAGCTAAAGAGGGAGTTGCTTAACCCATGGTGTTTATGTAGAGATTTTAATGAAATAGAACGCATAAGTGAAAGGAAGGGTTTCAATAGAATAGATAAAGGAATGAGAGAGTTCAATGAATTTATTGACAAATGTGAAGTTAATGATCTACCATTACTTGGCAGGAAATATACATGGTGTAACTTTCTGGCAGGAGAAAAGTGGAGTAGAATAGATAGGGTGTTAGTGGATCCTAAATGGTTGGAGGTGTTCAATTTAAAGCTATGAGGTTTCCCAAGGCCCATTTTTTTTATCACTGTCTTCTGTTGCTAATGAAGGATGAAAGAGACTGGGGTCTTAAGCCTTGTAGAATCATCAATGCTTAGAGTTTACACCCAAGTTTTACAGCTTGTGTGGAAAAGACCTGGAAGGAGGCTGAAATTGAAAGTTGGGCAGGTTTTGTCCTATAGAAGAAGCTTAAAATATTGAAGGTTGAATTAAAAAGATGGCATAAAGAGGTATTTGGGAGTGTGAATGTGAAGTTAAAGGAAGCAGAAGAGGAACTGCATCTCCTGGATTTATCTGCAGAGTCTAGAGATCTAGAAGATGCTGAAAAAGCCAGAAGAGGAGTAGTTAGAGATCAAGTATAGAGGTTAAGTAGAATGGTTGAGTAGTTGTGGTTGCAAAAATCAAGGCTCAACCGGAACTTGAAAGGTGATAGAAATACCAAATTTTTCCATGTGATGGCCAAGGGTAGGCAAAGTAGAAATGAGATCTTTTCAATTTCTGTTGGGAATGTTGTGTATGAAGATCCTGCTCAGGTTAGGAAAGCAGTCTATGACCACTTCAGAAAGCAGTACACAGAGGATTGGAAAGGTAGACCCAAGCTAGGTGGTCAGTCTAAATCAATTCATGAATGCCTTGGATTTGAAAGATTGGAATTATAATTTTCAAAGGCAGAAATCAGGGCTACTGTGAAGGACTGTGATGCAATAGGGCCCCTGGGCCAGATGGTTTTAACTTGGCTTATTTTCAAAAAGTTTGGAAAATGTTAAAAATTGATGTATTGAAGTTTTTTAAGGAATTTCATAGGAATGAAAAGTTGGTTTTGAGAATTAATAGCTCCTTTATATCACTAATACCAAAGGTTGAGAATCCAGTGGGGCTTGGAGACTATCGACCAATAAGCCTAGTTGGTTCAATATATAAAGTTCTAGCAAAAGTTCTGTCAAGTAGACTAAAAAGAGTGCTTACTCGCACCATTAGTGATACTCAATCAGCTTTCATAGGAGATAGAAACATTTTGGATGGTGTTTTAATTGATAATGAAGTGGTGGATCGATGGAGAAAAACCAAAAGGAGGGGTGTGATTCTAAAGCTAGATTTTGAAAAGGCTTTTGATTATGTAAATTGGTGTTTCTTATCATCTATGCTCTTGAATTTTGGGTTTGGAGCAAAATTGATTAGTTGGATAAAAGAATGTGTTATCTCTACAAAACTCTCTGTGTTAATTAATGCTTCACCAACTGAGGAGTTTTGCCCACAAAAGGGTCTAAGACCAGGTGACCCTCTGTTTTCTTTTCTATTCAACATAGCAGCTAAAGGCCTTAATATACTTTTGTCAAGAGCTCAGCAGATTGGCTTGATTAAAGGGGTGAAGGTTGGTTCTAGTGGGGTGTTGTTATCACATTTACAATTTGCAGATGATTCCATATGTTCTATGAAGCTGAGGAGATGGAGGTTTGCAACATCAAGAGGCTTTTAAGGTGTTTTGAATTGATTTCTGGGCTGAAAATAAACTATCATAAGAGCCAAGTGTGTGGAATTAATGTACCTGAGGAGTCTTTATCCAGTTTTGCATCAAAGTTACATTGTAAATCCAAGGCATTTCCTTTGAAGTATTTGGGTATGCCTTTGAGGGCTAATCCAAATAAGAAGGCAACTTGGAAGCCAGTTCTTGATAAAGTCAGAAGCAGACTAGCAGGATGGAAAAGGAAGCTGTTATCATTCTCAGGGAGGCTCACTTAATTAAAGTTTGTAACCTCTACCTTGCCACCGCTCTATCTATCTCTATTTAAAATGCCTGTAGGGGTAGCAAGAGAATTTGAGAAGCTGCAGGTTGCTTTCCTTTAGGGTCGGTTAGTGTCAAGAAAACCAATTCACCGGGTTAAATGGGATGAATTAGCCAAGAGTGTCTAGCAGGGAGGCTTAGGCATTAGAAGAGTTAGATTGGCAAATGATTGTATGCTATTAAAATGGTGGTGCAGGTTTGGCAAAGAGAAAGATGCTTTGTGAAGAAAGATTATTTGCAGCAAGTATAAACTGGATGTTAAAAGCTGGTGCCCCTCTTCTATCTCAAGTAGCAGGTACTCTTGTGTGTGGATAGGAATCATCTCCATACCAGAGAGGAGTAACAATGTAGCCATCATTACTTGAAAAATGATGGTAAATGGTGTAGCCATCATTGCTTGAAAAATGAATTCCCTATTCTTTATAGATTGGTGATGGAGAATGAGGAAACCTTGAGATTAATGTATGATAGGAGGGTCGCTTCGGGGGATTGAAACTTTCAATTTAGAAGAAGGTTGTACGAGTGGGAAGAGAGGGAAGTAAGTAGACTCAAATTGCTTCTGTTGTTTGTCACTGGTTTATGTGATGATTTGGAGGACAATCCAGTCTGGTTGGCTGTAGGATCTGGTCTGTTTTCTATCTCCTCTTTCTACAAAAGTGAAATCGACTCCCTTGGTCCCTCTCTTATTACTTGCAAGTTAGCCTGGAACAAATTTGCACCTCTAAAGGTTCAATTTTTCTATTGCTTAGCTTGGAAAACAGAGTTAAGACAACAGACTTTCTTCAAAAAATTGGACTGATTCAAGCTACTGCACCGGCCCTTTGTGTTTTCTGTAAAGCAGAGAATGGATCTATCTGCCATATGCTGCTGCATTGTCATTTTGCATGGAAGGTTTAGGCTGCAATGTTGAATTGGTGAGAGGTGAAAGGGGCTCTACCAAGTTCTGTGGAAGCTGTACTTCATTGGTGGGAATGTGATAAATTCAACAGAAAAGAAAAATTGATATGGAAGGTCATTCCCTTGGCTGTCTTGTGGTCACTGTGGAAGCTTAGAAATGAGTGCATTTTAAATCTGCTACACCTAAGTTGGAGGACTTGTGTGATTTGATTAAGATTAGAGTTGCATTGTGGCTAAACCAAAGATTCAAGGATTTTCATTTCACTATACAGGACTTCTTGACCAATTTGAGTCAAATCAGATGGAGTTTGGGGAGTAGATTTGTTCTGGGTTGCTGATATAGAGCTCTTTGCTGCTGAGGTTTCCTTCTAGGTGTTGATCTATTGCTATCCCTTGTGCTTTTTGGGTTGGTGCCTTACCAACTATGGGTGGTGCTAGCTAATGCATGGTCATGCTTCTTGATGCAAACCTAATTGGGATCAAGTTATCTTTTTATTGATGATTGTCAATGTATTATGCTGGATCATTAGCAATAAAATTTCATTTTGGCTGTTTCAAAAAAAAGTTTTGAAAATTTTGTCCTACATTGATTTTTTGTAAAACAAATGTGGTATTTATGTAGTTTATCTTTAAAATTAGATTTTGACCTTAAAGTACACCCAAGTTTTGTAACATATTACTTTGTGAAGATCATGTAAAATTAATAGAGATTTTTGTAACTAAATAAATACTATTCTATGCAAAATCACATTTCTAATGTAGTGCTAACGTCGAAACCATCATTCCCTAGTATATTCCATGGTGGTATAGTGCTCAATCCAAAGGGTCACCTGGACTTGGTTGTGATTTATTATTGAAAAATAATTTATATCCTAAAAATAACCCTTTTAATTTGATCCACAATAATATAATATGATAGGTGTTAAATTTTGATTTGTGACATACTAACCATATAATATCCAACTTTCTTCCCACAATATTGTATTTATGAGTCTGAAATTGTGAGTCTTTAATATTTTTATTTTTTGTAATTATTTATCAACCTTCTTTTTATTTCTTATAAGATAATGCTATAATGACTATTTTATCTTATCATATTTTACTCATCACGTAATATGACATCATTATATTAGTTATCAAACAAAATAATATGGTTATTCTAACAAAATAATGTGGTCTCTTTTCACTCAAACAAAATATAATGAGGCTTACTTCAATAATAATTCAAATGGAATACAATGTGTAAGATTGAAAAAAGAACCAGTTATATATATATATGGTTTTTATAATTTGTCTCTTATATCAATTTAGTCCTTATAATTTTAATTATTTCCATTTTTTCATTTAACTTTTTAAATTGTATTAATTTAGTCTAATTGATAATATACTTTAAGAAATTGGATAGAAATCAAAAGATGTATTAAAAAACATACGAACTATTTCAAATTAGACGTTAACTCCTTAATCAAAATAAGAATAGTAAATGGACTATTTTGTCGATTAATTTTAGTCTAATTTTTGTTAGGGCATTACTAATTATAATACATTGACACAATATAAAAAATTAAAAATGTAAAAATGATACAATTAGAGTTAGAGTAGCAAATTTACGCAAGAGACCAACTACAGGAACTATGTCTGCCATTTGCCATTGAAAAAATGGAGTGTAAAGTGGGTGTAGCATTTTCCTTGTAAGTTTTTTTCAATGCTTGGTATTGATTTTAGAGGTTACTTCCTTGAGCTTCCTAGTCTACTATCCTAGTCTTGCTTTCATTTTGATGATATATGTATAAAACTGTCTGTCTAATGCAGGAAATCGACTTGCACAACAATAATCAGTACCTACGAGCAAAGGTTCTCTCTTTCTCTTGCTCACTGTCACTCATATTTAGTTAGTTAGTCAGTAAGTCAGTTAGTTACCATTTAAAGTTTTATGTGGATCTTCTTTTATTTTTTTATTTTTTTTGGGGGTGATTTTGTGGATTGTTTGTTTGTTTGTTTGAGTAGATAGCTGAGAATGAGAGAGCACAGCAGCAGATGAGTTTGATGCCAGGAGGACCTGAGTATGAGCTGATGCCATCTCAGTCATTTGATGCTCGCAATTACCTTCAAATGAATGGTATTCAACAACAACAACCACAACAACAACAACCACCCAATCATCATCACTACTCTCGCCATGACCAAACAGCCCTCCAGCTAGTGTATGTACCCCGCTGTACGATTCTTCTACATCATATTTGCACCACTCACCAATTCACCCATATACATGCAAATCACATTCATTCTCTCTATTAAGTTCATATCAATCAGATAATGCCAATCTTTGGATACAATGGTACCAATGCTACTGCTAATAAAAGGCCTAGTTTTTTTGTTTATTATTATTAGATGCCAACAAAATTTCTATATCAAAAACATAAATCTTTATTGATAGATTTTGTTTTGTACTTTGTATTTGATTCTTATATTAATAAAAAAAAAATTTTGCCGATCAAAAAAAAAAAAAAAAAAAAAAAAAAAAAACATGAAGTCTACCCCATCTTACAAAACACTACCCTCAAAACCCATGAAGCATGGTATCTAGGCACATATGTCCTAGTCGTGCTTGATACTTACTGAGTATTGATATTTTATATGGCATTTTTGCATACGTATCGGAGACACGATTATATACCCAAATTTTTCTTTCTTTATTTTTAGTACCCAGACGTACCTAATATACACTAAAGTCGTATCATATCTCAATCGAAACAACATTTTATTGTAATGCAAAGATAAAATTAATTTCACTGAAATTTTGTTTTTATTTTTATTTTTATGTTTAGCATGACTTTAAAAGTAAGTTATGGTTTGTAAGCTATTTAATATAATGACATTTAATTATGATTTATACCTTTACTTTTGATATTAAATGTGAATTGTAGGTTATATTTTAACTAATTAGACCATTTAACTAATTTTTACGTTACTCCAAATTAAAAATAAATATTTTTTACAAAGTATCCAACTATACCTGTACCTTACTCTCTTTTTTTTTAATAAAATTTTTTCCGTATCAATGTATCCTTATCATACCAATACCAATATTGATATGCATATTTGTATCCATACTTCGTAGCTCATAACCATACCAAGTCACATCTCTCTCAGCAAAAACAAAATAAAACTAGTTATATTGTGCATATACTGTAAATGTTAGATGCCTTTACTTTTCCATTGCACAGATTAATCCCTTTACAAATCACTTTATATTTCTTTATTTGTTTTACTCTTATTTATTTATTTCTTTCTTCTATGTACATTTCGGACAGGGTGGAATTGTTAAGCGACCGGGAGTGGCCTCGACCCCTCCCGAGACTATAAAATATTCTACCCATACTCTTATATAATTCGAGTATTTACAATATAATTAGTATGTTATTAAATTCTAAATAAATTTGTTTTGATTCCATTAAAATTTGAGTACCGTTTTTTTTTTCCTTGAAATCTCCTCTAGATTTTCACTTATTCAAATATTTTCCAACTACTCTATATAATTGAACATAATGAAAGTACTAACAAATGATTGTGCTTTCTTTTCAGTGCCAACTTAGTTGAGATTGTGTTGTTTTGCTTTAATGCTTTTCACACAACCCTCCCTTTATTGGTGTAATCTAATATGTATGTATGTTTTTCTTCATCAATAAAGTTCTTTTTCACTAATCAAAAAAGAATTCAGATATATAATAGAAAAAATAATTTGTAGTATTTGATACTTTTCTGTATCTGATTTATTCGTCTTTACCATTGCTGCACAATTTATACCATCAACTTTTATTCACCCTCTACGTATTTTTATACTTTTTATTAGATCATCATTTTCATTCACCACTCACCTCTTAAGTGAGAGCGATAATAAATATTCATTTTATATTATTGTAGTCAATAATATTTTACACTTTTTTAAATAAATCAATAAAATTATGTCTATATATAAATTAGTCTTTTGAAATTATGTTGTTGTAAAAACTATATATATACATATTTTGGCCATCGTCAATTGAAAATCCTAATCTGCCATTAGTTTTGAATAAACTTGTCACATATTAGCAGGATGGACTCAAGATCTGTTTGACATAGGTGACAAACATATATATAGTAACTTAAATTTCTACGACATAAAACGTGAAAAAATACGATAAAAACATATGTAAATAATTTCAAAATTATTAATATTGGAAAAATTAAGGTGGAAAAATTATATTAGTGGTCCCTATAGTTTGAGCGAAATTTTACTTGGTCTTCGGAATTTTAGTTTGAACAATTTAGCCTATATACTTTCAATTTTGTTGCAATGTGGTCCGTTTATTACTTACTGCTAGAATTTGGAATGGAAAAAGACCATCTACAAAATTAGAAAGGCCACAGTGAAATTCAAACTAAACTATAGGGACCACCAATGTATTAGAGCCTTATTTTTATACAATCAAGACATTGTATGTTAAAAAATACAAAAGGAAACAAAATGAAATAATAAAATCCATAGAACCAAGAAACAATTCTGTAATAAATTGTTCCTATTTTTTCTGCAGTTAATTTGCTTGAAGGCTGGTAGTTTTCTGCTGTTCATTCCACAAATGGAGATGTAGTATTTTAGCAGATGAAGCTCCAGCTATCTTTGGGAAATGCTATGAACTGGAGGTGCAATTGCTGAAGCCTTTTGTACTCATGACAAATGGTTGCTTCGTTGATGCTATTGTCTGTTCTGTTGTTAAAAAAGAGATTTATTTTGCTTTGTGGTTGATGCTTGCACTGTGATATTATGATGTTAGGTACTATTGTAATCCCTCCCTATCCTTTGTGTGATTTCCTTTTTCTTTTTAGTCTTCATGTCACATTTCCTTGGATCTCTGTTACATACAATATTGTTGGACATAATTTGTAATTTTCATAAGTTCAAGAAAATTTTCTAGATAGTTTATGTGGCTAGAGGTTAGAAGAATTAAGTGCAAACAAAGTGACTTCTTGTATACCTAGGATGACTAAAGTTATAATGCATGAAGAAAATCTAGGGTTGAGTTTATAATTTGATGTTTGTTTGGACAGATTAGATTAAATGAGATTAATACCCTAGGGCCATGTTTGATTCACAAGATTAATAGTGAGGTATTAATAATTCTATCAAATTAGTGTAGTATTCACTATCCAGTTGGTTTAATAGGATAAATTATATATTGGATTAATAATTTCACCACTGCCCTATTACTAATAATCCTACAAATTTGTTGGATTAATTATCTATTGGATTAATAATGGGTCCAGCTTGTCTCAAGTTGAGATCAAGATTGGACCCGTCCAGTTCGGCCCATGGGGCCCATTTTTTGGGTCCGTTTTGATAATCTGAGCCGTTCAATGTGTAGAAATCGTCGAGTACTACATGCCTGTAAAAAATCACGTTGATCGGATATCAATAACTATCTGATCATATCAGTTTTGTATAAAAAAAAATGGACGGTGAAACAATTAACGGTTGATAAAAATCTGTTTTGTTCACATAGCTATCGATATCCGATCAAGGTGATTTTTTTCAGGCATATAGTACTCGACGAGTTTTACATATTGAACGGTTCGGATTATCAAAACAGGACCCGTGGTGGGCCCCCACGGACCCAACAGCACGGTCCAGTCCGATCTTGGACTGGACCAAAGCCATTGCTATTAATAATCCTAAACCAAAATGTTAAAACAAACATAGGATAATTAAGCCCACGGATTAATAATCTCAATCTCATGCTCTAATCCATCCAATCAAACATGCCCTAGAACTATTAGTTTTCGAATTAACCATATATTTGGATTGTATGTCCACTGACATGTTCAAATTGACTCACAATTATAAGGAATGATTAGTAAAATTGTATCCATCTTATAATTTAGTCAACTAATTTCAACATCTCCTTAAACACAAATATGATTCAAACAAATAACTACCGATGTCCAATTATCTTGATTTTTTACATGAATATTTTACTTAATAAGCCCACAAAAGTGAATAGTTTGGATCATCGAAATTGGTTCCAAAATAGGCTCACCAAACCCAAATGTTCTCTCGAGTTGAGATGACAACTTGAGCCAAACTCTTTATTAAATTACAAATCAAATCTTAAAGCCATGTCCCTTCAAATAAAATATGGGGAAATTACAAATCAACTCTACTTTTCAAAAATAATTACAAAATTATGAAGAACTTTATGACTTAATTATTAAAATTTGTAAAGTTTACTACTATTTTGATTTTTTTTTTCTCCCCCCTTCTAAAAACTCACTGATTTGTTATTTCCTCAACATGACCCAAGAGGAGAAATAGAGTTTTTGATGGAGCTATCATATGTGGTTGCTATTACTACGACTGCCATTTCCCTGCTAACTTTCATATTGTTTTCCTGCGGCTGCTAACTTTCCTATTGCTTTCCTGCAGCTGTTGGTGTTTGGTTTGATTTGTTTGCCTTTGTTTGTTTCCCTATCGCTTTGTTGGTTCGTTGCCAACCCTTGGCTTAAGCTAGTATATGATTGAGTATCTTTCTTGGTGCCAACTTAGCTGGGATTATGCTGATCAAAAAAAAAAAAAAACTTAGCTGGGATTATAATGATATACTATGATTCTCTCTGCTCTTGCCCCTTCTTTATTGATATATGTTCTTATGTAATACATGTTGAATTCATCGATAAAGATCCTTCTTTTTGCTGATAAAAAAACTTTTAGTCCATGTGGTGTGTCCTCATAGTAGGACACGCAATTTGTATCTTATTTTTTAGACAAACAAATTGAGTGTGCTTGGTTTGTGTTTTGAGATAAATTTTCAAAAAAAAAAAAAATTGGGAGAGAGAGTTTAGTCCCAAATTTTTTTGGTTTGTTTAGTTGTATATTTTGAAAATAGTTTTGGAATTTGAGAGTTTGTAATGATTTGATATTTTGTTGTAGTTAAGTAGATGTGTATGAGAGAAAAAGTGGTTGAGAAAGAGAGAGGAGAGATAAAAAGTGATTGATTGATGTGTAGTAAAAAGAGAAGTAATTTAATTTTTTTTTTTTAAAAAAAATTATAACCAAACATGTTTTTGAAAATTTTCTTTCAAAAACATGTTTGAAAACACAAACCAAATACACTTATCATGTGTGCCTTTCTAGTAGTGGGACGACATACCATTACATTTATTTATTTATTTATTTATCAACAACGAAGAACCTTTATTGATGATGGAGAACCTTACACAAAGGAAGAAAACATCTACAAAAAAGGGAGGGATAATGCAAAATCCATCATAATGAGACAACCCAATCCCAACTAGGTTGGCACTAAGCAGCTCACACAATCACATGGCAGTACCAAACCAAGAACCTGTTGGTGAGAGACCAACAGATACCTGCAATACAGCAACAAAGGCTAGCACATTTAGGAGTGGGATTGCTTGATGATGCCCTTTATGACCATACATACGAGCAAGATAGGACTACCCCGAAACCTCAGTGAGGGATTTAGTTACACAAGAAAATCTTTCATTTCTTTTACCTTTCGTTTTTGACTTTAGCCCATTAGGAATGCTGCCATTAAAGCCATTAGGTTTTGTTTGCCCCTTGGACAAACTGGGCCTTGTATCTGCCCAATTGGGATTAATATTGGGGTTTGAATTTGGCCCCTCACCATAACACCTAATCTGTTATTTTCCACTGGGTTATGAACATGGCCCAAGTTAACTTCCAAGCTAATACCAGGCCTATGTCCAGCCGACCCATCTAGACATTGAATAAAACCTTGGGTGTAGCTATCTACTCATCAACACTTAGGTTATCATCATTATCCTCTAGGCTGCCCTCTGTCACTGCTATCTCCATATGCTCCTCAACCACCAAGTTATCCCCCTCACCACTTTCAGTCTCCTCTACCACTGTGTCCACCTGTTTGTTTGCTAGAGCATCGTCATTATCTTCATCTTCCACGGCCAAACTAACATCAGGTTGATCACCAGCATCCACCCCAACAAGTTGAGGCTGAACAACCTCGTTTGAGTTCCGATCCTCTCCCACCTCACTGGACATAATGCTACCACGGTCAACTAGAATATGCGATTGTTCTTCGCAGACCAAGACTAAATGAAATCGTTCTTTGCATTCTAACTTTATAGTTTGATTTATAAACTCCATACAGTATGTTGCAACTCGAATTCTTCCATGACTAAAGAATTGTGGTTGACTAATATTCCCATCCAAACTAAGAACACTGCCCCAGATACTACCAATCTTGTTAAAAGTGTTTCTATTCCACATACTCAGAGGGACACCATAACACCTGAGCCACAGACACCTTTCTTGCTCTGCATATACTCCTGGTTCCCAAAGATTGACAAATTCGCACCATTCCTTGAACCATTCTTTGACCGATAAAAACTATGACAACATATCCTCTTTTGATGACCGGAACCTTAGCGCCTGCTTTTACCACATCAACAAATGATCTTTGAGAACCATACTGATCTCGATCATACCTTTCTTGAATGACCTTATCACCGCTACTCCTTCCAAACTGATTTCCTCTCACTGATCTATTTTCGATTCGACCATACTCTGCTATTTTGGATTTAAGTTCCCTATCCGCCACCCACAAACTATCGGCTTTCTGGACAGCCATGTTTGCCGCTACTGAGCAATCAAATCTAACAAAACCAAATCGAGTATTGGTAGTTTTCCTTCTCTTTTGAGGAATAAAAACATCCTTCACTATACCAAACTTGGTGAATGGATGAAACAATGATTTCAGATCCTTAGTGGAAGGGATGTTATCCACAAAAATAGAGATTAAACCCTTACTGCCCTCCTTACTCCATACTTCGCTCTTTTTCCTTTACTTCATTACTGGTATCCACCATATGTTCTCTATGGTGAGGAGGAAAAACATATGTCATACCAATATGTCACACACGAGAGGAGGAAAAACATATGTCATACAATCCAAACATATGTCACACACGAGAGGAGGAAAACAATCCAAACATATGTCATACCAATATGCACATTTGGATTGTTTTTCCTCCTCTCGTGTGTGATATATGTTTGGATTGTTTTCCTCCTCTCACATGAAACATGTTTGGAATTGTTTTCCTTGATGTGTGAAACGCATATAGGTTGTAGTCATTATCTCCATTTGTATTTTGAGCGTACTTCAAACCATTTTCATGAGGCTTGCATGTAAGTCCAAATTTCAAAACGAGTTCTCAACTCAACATTTCATTTGCATCATATCCTAGAACTATGCTGGTTTGATTCCTTACAAAGAGATACATAGGCAACCCCTCAGGACCAACCAACTGCATTTGCATGCTTGAGTTACTTTCCCAAAGTCTTACAACCTTGTCAAAAAGTGTCCGTGGGCTTTAGCATTCACTTATGTCACGAAGTGACAAATTGAGCACTGTCAAAGAGCGGTAACTATAAACACCCGATTTTGATTCTACCTAAGACTTAGGCACCTTCCAAAACTCCTCAATGATGAAATAAAACTTGATGATTTTGATCGCCTCATAATAGCTATTCAAATGGTGAGATCCCAAACCCAAACCTTATACCCCTCTTTTAGCCAAAATATTTGCTAACAAAAAAAAAAAATTTGTTTTCCAAAATTATTTTCAAATTGTTGCATCATGTGTTCGATTGATCCAAGTTTTTCTTTTCAAAAACTCTAAATTCAAAAAATTATTTTGAGTAGTCTACACTCTTTTACTCATTTCTCACTCCACATTTTTAATCTTGATGCGGGGACAAAACCATTGAACAACTTAGGGCTTCCATTTGAACACAAAATTGACGTCATTTTGACTCTGGATGCGGGAGATGCTCGTATTTGAAGTTTGCCCAAAAAAGTTGTCTAGAGCAACTCGCGGCCAGAAATTATAGTTTTCTCAAGCAAACTGTTCAGTATGGTCCTCCCAGCATCATTTCCCACATATTTCGAATGTCCATATAGAATGGCATGCTCCAAAGGCTTCCTTGGCCTATATATACACCCATTTGGGT